AAAAACAAGGTTGCCCAGCTGGGACTGTGAGCAGGACCAGGACACAGCCCCAGTCCAGGAAGATGGACTGCCCCCTCGGAGGTCACATTGGCCTGGACTCTGCCCTTGGCATATCAGCACTGCTGCTACGGCTGCCTTTTGAGAGCGTTCTCCCTTTGCTTGTTTCTGTTTCTGATCGTAGGTTCTAAGTCCTAGGCAGGTGCCACCACCTGCCCAGGTGCCTGCTGATGTCTCTGGTGCCAGAGAAGCTGGAAAAGAGCCTCTGTGGCATCGCTGAGCGTCTGTCATGGCAGGGCGTGCTGCCTCCCACAGAGACTTTGAGGGAAGAAGGGGTTTCAGGTGCTGGGCAGCCCAACACATGACAGGTAGCCACTGCAATTACTACATGGCTGTCAGTCAGTCTTGTTAATCCCTGCCAGAGTCCAGTAATAAGCAGGTGATTATCTCAGAGTGCTAGCAGCTGCGGGCATCATTTTGGTCCAGGTCACTTAAACATTTTCCCCCGGGGGACTGGCCAGGGGCTCCAAGCTGTATTCCTGTTAACTACCGGGAATCCATGTGCCATGTCTTCATCTGGTGCAGCTGGGCTGATAATTCGGGCCGCCTGCTCTGTGGTCCTCGTGACGGGAATAGCGTGGCAGTGCGGATAGAGCCAAGGGAGGCTACACTCAAGGACACCAGTTTCTCAGGGTCCCTTTCAAATGGTGCAGTAAACATTCCAAGAGCCACAGCGATTTCACAATTTAGGTAGTAAGACCGGTGGTTGAGCTTTCTCTTTAGTTAGTGGAATCCCATTCCCTAACTTGGGTAGACTGCGATGTGAGTCCGTCATCTCACTTGGGTTGATGACTCAGGTCAGTGTTTCAAGTAACTGGACAAAGCCCAAGTCCGCTCCTGGCTGGGATTTTTCCTTCTGTCTTTTAGTTTTCACATCTGTTTAGTGTGCTAGCTGCAGGCTTACTGGCAGCTCCAGACACCAGTGTCGCTGTGAACAAGGCTTTGGGAGATTTTAGGTGCGTTCACCCGTCGCTGGAGGTGTGCAGCAAGTGGCCACCCGCTGTTTATGTCAAGTGAAGGCGTGTTGCTTCAGCGGGTCTGGATGGCAACTGAGAAAAATGCATTAGTCAAGGTTTTAATGCATATCATTTCCTGGCGGAGGTGTTTACTTGTTCCAGTAACACACCAGGAACTGTATCAGGAAGGGCCTCTTAGCATTTTATATCCTTTGTATAATTGCTCTGGGTTAGAGCTTTGAGGGACCCTGGATCTCATTTTAATATGTGCTTCGTCTTGGGGGTTGCTTTGAGAACTGCGCTCTCGCCTCTGGCTCCTCATGGCCCACGGAGATGGGAGCTGCCGAGACGTAGTGATACGAGAGGGTGGCCCCTCAAGCTGTTGCTTTCTGGAACTGAATCCCCACTTTCTCAAATGTGGATTTTTTTATTTATAAAAGACCTTTTATTTTTGAAGGATGCCATTCTTTTCCCCTAAGTTCTTTTACTCATAAACTTAGTCTATAAATCAGATGAAAGTGCTGCTCTGGTTGAAGTGGTCGTAGGCTACAAAGCTGGTGCTCTCAGCCCTTGCGGCCCCACCTCACAGAACCATGGGGTTCGGTGTGGCAGGTCCCCCAGTGTGGGTGAACTGCCCTGTCTGTCCCTCACTGAGCAGCGGGGCATTACTGCCTGCTAGTGTGACACACACACTGGTCAGAAAATCGGTATTGAATTAGTGATTGTAACAATTTGGCAGACACCCAGCCGCTTCTGCTTGGGAGCAATTAGGGAAACCTGAATAAAAAACGTTCAGTTTCTTTTCATCAGCCCACATGGTCTAGTTTCATTCCTTTTTAAAAGCTTTATACCCTACACGCTCATAGAACACTCCTGGACCAAAAATAGATATTACGGAAATAGGTGCTTTTGTGTCTTACTATGAGATGCCTTAAGTCTGCTTGGGAAGTATCCTGGGAATAAATAATGAATTGTACACACTAAATACAGTTATGTGCAAGTCAGAGTATACCCACACTTGCAGCTAAGAAACCTGGCCTAGGGGCTGAGGATTTAGCTCAGCGGCAAAAGCGCCTGCCTGGCAAGCGCAAGGTCGTGAGTTCGGTTCCTGGTACCAGAGAAAAACCAAAAAAAAAAAAAAAAAAAAAAAAAAAACCTGGCCTAGGCCAAGACGGTAACCCTAAGAGCAGTGCCTCCTGATCGTGGAAGTGAGGGAATCACTGAGCAGTTTGTCTCTGTATATAGTTAGTAGGTTATTTTTCATATTCTGATAGAAACTGTAAAAAATTCTGAAAGCAAGAACAGTGAGAATGTAAGCTGAAAGGACATTAAAGAGTGTGAATGTAAGTTTTATGGTTGGTATATAGCAGTTAGTGGAGTCTGAGCAGTGGAGTTGAGTTCAGGCACTTTCGACGCCAAGTTAAGATCTGTTTTAAAAAAAGAGTTAATTGATAGTAAAAATGACACCAAGCTGTCTCAGCATATAGTTTCTTAAAAACTTAAGAATTCCTTATAACTTGGTAAAATTACATACAGTTTACTAATAAAACTTCTAATGCTCAATCATTATAAGCCATGATTTAAAGTCCTTGATACTTGCCCAGGTGTCATTCTGTGGCCTCTTGCCTCTCCCTAGGGATAGGAAACCTAAACGCAGAATAAAGTTTATTTGGTGTTGCATTGTAAAGATTAATAAATTTCTCTGACGGTCAAATCTGCAGTGTCCTAACTCTCCCTCTCTGAGGTGGTCTGTGGCGGGTGAGTAGGTGGGGACTGTAATCGTCTGCATTCCCTGGGGCCTTGACTTGCCTTTGTTGGCGTTCACAGTAAGTGGCACTTTTCCTTTCCAAAGAAAAGTACTGCAGAGAGGCAAAGGAACTTATCACTGATAGAGCAGATGTCAGCGGATTTGGCACAGATGTGTGAGCACACAGGTTTCCTGATGCTGGGCCTGGACATTAGGCCTACCTAGTGAGTGGTGTTGTGGGAAACACCGGCTCTTCTCTGTGGAAGGAGGTGCAGAGGGCATGTTTCCTGCCACAGGCAGCTCCAAAGAAAAAGAAAAGGAGCTGAGCTCAAGATCACTGAACTCTCTTGCCTCACAACACCCTTAATATCTCAGCACAGTTTTTACAATGCCTCTTAACCCCCCCCCCCCAAATAGCTAACGGGTGTACCTGTTAATTGAGGTCCAAACAACTTAAAAGTATTAGTAAGCTGAGTGTCTCAGGAGTATCACTGTTTCCCCGGAAGGAATCCCACGGAGTTCTGTGAGTCAGTGGTGGTGCTCCACGTTGCCATCCAGGGCACATAGTGTGTGGAATACAGTTTCCTTCAGAGCTGGACAACAAAGTTAAGTCCTCCCTCCTCCTCTTGATAGAGGCTTTCCGGAGTGAAGAGCCCGGAGCAGTACCCTAGCAGAGCTCCTGCAGGCATAAGAAAGCTTTAGCAGAGGGAGGAAGTGTGTCCTCACCCCCACCTCTGTTCCTGAGGTGTCTGTTTCAGCTTAGCGATCTCAGAGCTGATGTGACTGCATCCTAGGGGCCTGGACGCACGCACTCGGTATGTACTCACAGTCTGTACCTCCACGTAACTGCTGGGAAGGGAAATGCGAGGAGAGGTGACAACCCCATGGGCATGTATAAAATACCACATTTTCTACAGCCTACTCTTTCAGTTGTGCGTGTTTTGAGATCAGGTATGATCTGGGCTAAGAATAAAGTCAATTTCACTTGACTAATTCAGTGTAGACTTTGGTTCCATAGTGTCTGAACATACAAGGTTTTTAGTCTGCAGTTAGAAAAATGAACAGCTGAACCTTTCATGCCCTCACCTGACAATAACATGGTCACTCCTTTATAAGCCAGAATTTCTACTAATACTAAAAAGAAATAAATGGTGGATTTCTAGTCATAAACAACTAAATATTTCCTGTGTGTGCTACTCATGTAAACTATTGAACATGCCTAGGCTGCATTTATAGCTTGATTGGTCAAGTGTGCATTTCAATCAGTCAGATTGGCCTCATCAGTGAAATGCCAGTATTTGCAAATCATGAATTGCTAAGTGTGTGAAAAAAAAAAAAAGTAGCCAAGTATTTAATTCCCTTTGTATTAAAATTTTATGATGTTATACGCCATACATATAAATGCTGAGTTTACAAACTGAGAAGATACTTTGCTGTTTTACCCACACCCTTGAACAGTACCTTCCCAAATGAACTGCACGACTCCGTGCTCCGAGTTTCCTTAGGAGCTACAGTGTGGACAGAAGACCTAAAGGGGGCAGGGAGTGGGCTGGTCATCCTTTGGGAAGGAGCAGGTTCTTAAGAGGTGTGCTAGACAGGACACACTGCATCTGCTGTGCTGCAGCGGCCCCTGCTGACCTCCTCCTGCTGCCTTGGCAAGTCCTACCCGCCCTGATTTCACTTCGCTTCTCCCCCTGCTGGTGTCCTCCTCTCTTACCCTCTTGTTTAGGTTCTTCAGCGATCCTGACGACTTAAGGGAGCCTCCTCGGAGGCTCAGTTTCCTTGTCAGTAAAATGGGGGTAATTAATAATCTGTCTACTTCTGAGAATGATTATAAGGATAAAATGAGATGTATGTTAATAAAGCATTCTATTAACTGCAATGTGCTATGTAAATGTTAGGTGTTATACATCAGAAGCTATTCCATTCCTCAGCTAAAGCAGTTTCTGTGCATATTTTAGTTACCCCCTGAACAGTTCTTTGTCAGATAGTGAATGTAAATGCTGCTGTTTTTCCTGCTTGGATTCTGGTGGTTTCTTTGCAACTTTATGATGTAGGCTGGATCTTTAAGTACTCCTTTGGTTCATATTGCTTCCCCCAAACACCCATGCAAGATCATAATCCATAAAACACAGAGGCAGTAACTCCTTTTAATTGCCCAGGAGTTCATCATTTGCTAAGTTCTAAATGCAGTCACTTAGGCACTTGCCTTGAAAAGCCTGTCTCTGTTTATTCTGCAGAGTAGAGACTGCATGAAGCTGGGCCCTCCTGCTGAGGGAGAAGTCGTCCAAGTCAAGTGGCCTGATGGCAAGCTGTATGGGGCAAAATATATTGGATCGAATGTTGCCTACATGTACCAGGTACGTGCGGTCTGTCCTCTCTGGTTCTTGTGGAGAGGGACACAAGATGTCAGAGGGACGTAGTATACGGAGTGTGCTGCTGATCAGTAAGCCACAGCAATTTGGGTTGATTCACTTTATGAAGGAGAAAAGCTTTAATGCCTGGTGACTCAGCTCGAAGCTGTAGAGTTTGGTTACTAGATTGGATACTAGGAAACCCTAACATTTGATGAATTGTTCAGCAAAAAGTAAGCAACAAGGTAGGTTACTTTACTATGTTTCCTTATGTGAGAGAGATTACGGGCTTCTTCATCTGACCTTAAGCCAGGACAGTGATGGCTGCTCGTGGTGTTTGCCAGAGAGAAATCACCCCTGAGCATATCAGCTAAAATTAACTCAGCGGCACATTGGTAAGAGCCGCAGCTAGTTAATGTCCTGAAGAGCCGGTGCTTATTAAAGGGGTGTTTGTGTAAGGAAGAGTGCAGCTCTCAGGTCAGCGTTCTGTTCACAAGGGAACTCGATGTAGTATTAGAGTATGAATTTAAAAATGAAATCATGTTACTCCTACTAGAAATAATAGTGAGTTAAGCGAAAAAATGGAGATGACATGGATAGCACATGTGCATTTATATTTCTTCAGAAAGGTTTTGGATATATGTATTGGAACCAACACATTGCAGTATTTTCAGTAACACTGTGGCAGAAATCAACATTCCAAGCTAAATGGTAGGATGAAAACAGTTAGATTGAAGTAAAAGGAGAAAAAAGCAAGCAAGTTCAGGCCTGTGAAGTTGAAAAACAGCTTGTGAATGATAAGCCTGCCAGTTTCAGCAGAGAAATTGTTCGAAGACTGATAAGAGGCAAGGGCTTAAACGAGAGTACGTTGTGAGACACTGCATCAAGAACTGGAGCACAGTATAATTCAAGGTGTTCAGAGAAGTTTGAAAAACTTAGAACATTTTCTGTGGTCTAGGAAAACCCAAGGGGAATAGGGAGGGGGAGGACTTATACATGGGGTGTGCGTGTGTGCGCATGTGTGTAGGCCACTTTTAGTGTGGGTGTGTAGATGTGTGTGGGTGTGTATATATATATATATAAATAAATATAAAAGCAGGCCATTTTCCCTTTGCGTGTGGTGTTGGTGACAGTATGAAGTTGCAGATTCAGACTATTTGTACTAGGGTAGGTGCTAGAGCTTCTTTGCATCAGGTTGTGCAGGACACAAGCCACACATCAGGCTCACAGGACTGGAGATTTCTGAACAAGAAGCAGCAGTACCTCATTCAAAAGAAAATAATTGCATGTAATTAAACAACAAGTGCTAAAGTGAAAGCTTCTTACATGCAGTAAATAGCATCACATAATGAGGACACATTGAAAATCAGGCTAATTAGTAATCAGTGTGTTAGCATCGGTTAAATTTATGATGGCCTACCATTGTAAAACTATAGGCATCTTTATAGACTCAATGAAAAGGTTAAGACTAATATTAAAATTGTCTCTCAACCACAGGGAATGTAAAATTCCTCATTAAACCAAGTGGCCTTTTGAGATCATTTTGTGTCTTGTGTTTATTCAGCTTAGCTGTTGACTATGCAAAGGTATTTATAAAAGTAGATATAACTTAAATACCTAGTGCGCAGTGCTTAAATATCTTAAATATATCCTAATAGTCCTGCAGAGTAGGTTTTATTGACTCTTGTTTTACAAATGGGAGAGAGGCTCACTGAATGCATTTTTAATAAGAAAAAGAATAAAAATTATGAATTTGCTCAAGAGCACTATATCAGTCAGGGTTTTACTAAAAAACTGATATAACCCAAGATATACAAATGCATAAGAAATTTCAAGATCAGCTTGTGGTGACCAGCCACAGAGGTGGATGAGGAAGCGCGCAGAGGGTGTCTGCGTGCTGGAGACCAAAGGTTTCAGCACACCTTGCCTTGTCCAGAGTTCACTGCAGTGTCTGTGCAGGCCCATCGCAGGAGGCTGGGTCCCTGTGGGAAGGCTGTGCACCAGAGGGCTGACGGGTCCAGAGGGAAAGGGGAAGGGTCTGTGCTAGAAGCCAGGAGGTGACATCCAAGCTAAGGACTGGAACTCCTAAAGAACAGAAGCAGATCTGCCCTCCCTCATCTCAGGGGACTACCCGCCCTGGGGTGGGTTTTCTCCGCTCTAGGACTTGGGATGCTTGAACTGGTTTAGTTAAACTTCTAAACTTCTCAAGTTGATAGCAGTCAATCAGCCAGTACAAGCACACAGCTGGTAAAGAGAAGGGTCATCATTTACTCAGCTGTGACCCAACAAGGATGAACAACTGACCCCGCTTGCCTGGCACTGGCTCTGATTTTAGTGCTTTTAAGTCCCACAGGGCCGCGTCCTGGAGACTCCTGGGTCCCTAGCACCCAGGGTTGTTGGTCACCCTATTCCTAGCATTCTGTACCATCTTTTAGTTTTGTAATTGGCTTTTTCTCTTAGAAGTTTTGAATTATCTAAAATAAAAAAAGTAGGTACAGGTGGTTCCAACTATGCTATCAAATGCTATAAGTGAGATGACACTGTAGCTCAATTAGAGAAACCATTCTGCTAAAACAAGGCCGAGAAGAAAACCATTCCAATTTCCAGCCCTTCGGGAAGTGGCTATACTGTTGTCTTGTGACAGAACCCTAATTTCACCTGATTGTCTAGTCTAATCAAATGTTAGGAGTACATGAGTAAATTTAATTTTTTAAAAGGAAAAAGATGTTTAATTATATATTTTATCTTTTGCAAACTCCAGCAGGTTTTTGTTTATTAACATAGCACAGCTATGTAGTATAACACCTTTTGACCAGAAATACCAGCATATTTTTGTTTCTTAGGACTAAGAATTTCAGAGCTAAAGGTGTAGGTCAGTTGTAGATCACTTGCCTAGCTTGAGCAAGGGCCTAGCTTTGATCTCCAGTACTGCATCAAAGTGAAACAAAACAAAACAGGTAATCAAACAAATAAAGATGTTAGAGATTTCTAGAATACTGTAAGTGGTTAACACATTAGGTGTGCCTCCTAATTGCACTGTTTCATTTTCTCCCAGAAGGGATCATATTGGAGTAAACCTGAGCCCACACACTCCAGGCTTCTGTTTATCTAGTGTCGTGTGCCCTTTTCCTGACGTAATCTCCCAAACTGTTGAAGAAAATCAGTATGAAATTATTCCTGCAATTTGGATGCATGAAAGAAAGTTTCAAACATTTTCATTTTAGATGATAATATATTTTGCACATTCATGAGGTTTACATGCTATGAAGTTGAGAGAATAGGATTTTCCTAGCCTATTTGAATTTAGAAAAAGTGATATTTAAAAGTTAAAGCTCTATAAGAACTTGAGAAGTTGCTTTATCCTGGAAGATTATACAGGAATAAATATATGATCTTTTCTTTCACAGAAAAGAGCAGCTGTCCCTTTTCTGTTTTCAAAGCGTCTTAAAAAGTCACAACACTATCGAGACTGGCCTATCTCAATGCTGAATTTGTCGCTCTCAAATGTTCTGAGAAATCATTTGATCAGTCCCTATTCCTCATATTTTAAGATTCCTATGTTCAGTAATCTTGCTGTTTTAAAATATATTTTGGCATTATGTACACGTACCAACATACTGATAAATTAAATTGTGGGTACTGCGAACATATACTAATAAAAAATAAAACTTTCAGTGATTAAAATAAAATAAAATGTATTTTGTTCTTGGGTGCTGCGGCGTAGCTCAATGGTAGAACACTTGCCTAATGTGTGAGGCCCTAGGTTTGATCCTCGGGCCTGCGAAAAACAAAAATGTCCTTTGTTCTTGGTTCAGTAAGGGAAAGAGCTCTTCTCACTTCCTTGAGCATTGGCTGGTTCTGTGTCTGGTCTGCTTGAGTCTTTTTTACCTGTTTTCTCGTAGGTAACTGGAACCCTTGAAATGGTCAGCACTTGTTTCTACTATGTAAAAGTCCTGATATCTTATATTTCACTAGGTTGAGTTTGAAGACGGATCCCAGATAGCGATGAAGAGAGAGGACATCTACACCTTAGATGAAGAGTTACCCAAGAGGGTAAAGGCTCGCTTCGTAAGTGCTGCCAAGTCCGCCTCGGGTCTCACTGGTGAAGTTCTCATCCTCTCCCTGGGTTTCCTAAACCTCTAGGAAACGTCTTGGGCCTTTGGGTTAGTTTTGAAGAAGCCAGGCCAGCTTTCCCTCATTTAAACCTACTGGGTGCAAACCTCACATTTAGCCAAAAACAGGTAAACCAGCGGCATGGTTTACTCTTCTAATGAAGTCAAATGACAGTTTTGTGTTAACATCTATTGATACACAGAAATGGTTACTGAATGTGCCTTCTGTACAAAGCACACACACATGTAGGAGCGTACAAAGGTATCGTCTGGGCTTTCCTGTCTTGTCGATAGACGCGGCACTGGAAGGAAGGGTATCCCGAAGCCAGTTGAAGGCAGTGGGTATAAGTGATTATGTGGTCTCCCAGGCTTACCCTGTACTGGTGAGGTCCTGTATCGAAAGATCACTGATGTTTGTGTCCTTTCATAATTGAAATAAGCTGTCGCTCGCAGAATAAAAGGCATAAACAAAGCCTGAATAGTAGCTGTGGGATTACTAAAGGAGTTTTAAAAAAGAGAAGATACTAGTTTCAACGCTAGTACATGCCATTAAGAGATAAATAAAGGTGGCTAATTTGGTCTGATATTAATCAAAAATACCATACACAATAATTTAGGTTTTATATTATTGTGTCATGAAATATTTAGTGGATCCTAAAATGAAATTAGTTTTGCTCATTTAGAAATATGTGTACTGCATTTGTAAAATGGTAAATCTTAGGGAAATTTGAGTGAAAGACTTTTCTAAGTAAAATGAAATTTGTTTTTCTGAATAAATGACACCCTTGTGATACACTTCTCTGGGATGACAGTTACTATAGGTTGTTTGACTATTTTGGAAAAACCAAGAGTTTCCTAAAACGTTGGTTCATGTAGTCAGCGCCTTTTCCTCATTGAGAATGCTGACACAGGGCAACTGCATCAGTGTGTGCTGACTTCCCTTCTCAGGGGCAGCCTGGAGAAGAAGGTCCTTCACGGGGAAATAGCCAGAAAAGGGTGTTAGTGATAGCACTGCCGTCCGCCCCACGAGAAATGTGGCACACAGAGGTCCACACACTGGTGAACAGATTAACCACCAGGTTAACTGTAAAGACGAAGAGCAAATGTGCCTATTGTAAAGACATCAGCTGAGTTCCAAAAAACCTACATAACTTGTCTGTGCTTTAAGAGCTTGAAATCTCTCAAAAAACTTTCAGGATGTTAGAGACCACTGCTTCCCCTCCACATTCCTGTCTCCCAGGACCCCCTGCCCAACCCACCCCCTTTGTCCTTTCTTTAGTGCCTAGAGATTTAGAGGTAGAGAATTGAGTAGGTGGCCTTCTGGAAGTCCCTTACCTCTGGTTTTCTGGTCCGTGTGTGGCTAAGCACTCTGTAGCCGAGTTGTATAGATTTCACATACTGTTTCTCAATCACATTAGGAGAAAGCGCTTCGCTTTCTGCACTGATCATAATCTCTTCGTTCTCACTGGTAGATTTGGCTCCAGTACCAGGATGCCTTCTCAGGTTTTTATCTGAACATAGCTCATGAGTTTTCTAAGGTCTCTCTCCTGAGCAAGCATGCTGATGGATAACATTTTTTTTTTTTTTTTAATTCTCAGGATATTTTTTACTTTATAAAAAAGCAATGCAAACTATGTAAAATGTGTAAATCATAGCCATTATGCCAGGCAACTGAGTGTAGTAGGAAGTAACCTTCAGGAGCAAAGGGCCCGGATGACTGCGTCCAGTTCGCCACCCCTGTTGTTACTGGGCCAGAGACTAATGCGCTGTCCTCTCGCCAGCCTGCCTTTCCTTCAGGCGGGTGAATAACCTTCTGGCCCTCAGGTCCTCTGCCTGTGACTGCTATTTTTTTTCCAGTTGGTGAAACAAATCTAATTGGAAAACTCACTGGTGGAAGATATTTTGTGGTTAGAGAAATCTTTTTCATTTTCTGAGGAGGTAGGTTAGCCATCTTCTTCAGGAGGCCTGCATGTTTTAATGACTTTGGCTCACCCAGACTCATGCTGGTGCGGGAAGAAATTTTTCAAAAGAGTCAGCAGTCCACCTCGTGATGGTGCTTCGTTCTTTTTCACTCACTTCAGAAACAGCCCCATTACCTTTTATTGTCTCACGGAATAACCATGGCAACAGCGCATAATTAGCTAGAGCCCCTGGTAAATTGGCTTTATTATTGTGTCGGAGAGGCTGACTTCTGCTGTTTCTGCAGTGGCAACACTTGCATAGACATTTTATTCTCCTTTGATAACTTCAGCATTTACAGATGTGGGCGATTGCTCAGAGGAAGTACTTTGCCAAGAACGAATGCAACATGTTTATCTGCTAATGGCAGAGGGCACCCAGCCAACCCAGTGTCCTGGTTGTCTTCCTGGTGTCAGCCACCAGCCATGGAGGTAGCCCGTACCCTGTGTGACCTTGTCCTGAGCTGGTGGGGGCTGGCGTAGCTCTGTACATGGGCCTGGTTTTAGTTTTCGGCCTGTTTGTGTCTGTTTCCTGGCCTTTCTTTCTTTGCCTTGTGTTTTCAAGTCTGAAACTGGACTCCGCTTTGTCACCAGTCGGGGCAGACGATCTTTTCAGGTGTGCTGCGCATTACGGTCGTTGAAAGTCACCCAGCTCACTGAAACTCAATAGGGAATGTATTTCAGGTGACAAAACAGGGAACTAGGCAGCAAAGAGAGTGCTTGTACTGTGCACTTGGGCTTCCCTGCGCATCACGGGAAAAGCCCGTGCAGCTTACTTGGCACTCACTGAATTCCGGGTGTGTTGCTTGGTGTTAGGAACTCCGAAAATTTGGTACACAGTTCCTTTCCCCTTCGAGAGTCACCTGGTGGGAAGGAATTTACCTGCCCCTTACCTCTGTTACCACCTCTGTTCTATTCACCGATACGAGGGGCCCCAGAATCTCAGGCTTGCCGTGGCAGAGAAGAGTGTTTCCCGAGGGCAAGCAAAGTCTGTCCAGGGTAGAGGCACCTGAGGCCCTTTGCCAGAGAAGTGTGGCCAGGAATGGGAGCAATTCAGTCTGTCCCAGAAGACGGTAGGATTATGCCGGGTTGTATGCGTGCAGCCTCAGGACTGTGTATGTCCCCGTGAAGGCCACAGGGCTACGGAGAGATCATACGCAGGGACACATCGCCGTGTCTAGTCATACGGTAGAGTCTCTGGAGAGCTTTCTGTCAGTGGTTTGGTGGGAGACAGATTGAGGCTGCGGCTTTGGTGTAGGTCAGGAGGGCAGCGAGGTATGTGGAGGCGGGGTCCTGCACAGGAGCCAAGGACAAGGGCAGTCTGTGATGGCCGTTAGATTTCTGGCCAGTGTGACAGGAGAGGTGAGGGTGACGGTGCCGTTTATGGATGTGGGAAGGCCTGTGCCGGAGGAGGGAGACTGGGGTGCAGAGGAACACTGGTTAATTTGAAGCGCCTTAGAGGTCCCTGTGGGGCAGGAGCGCGCAGGCCTGCGCACAGGAGATCTGAACTATAGCGAGAGCAGGGTGTCCTTGGCGTGGAGGCAGGCATGAAAGCACAAGCGTGGGCACCAGGGCCAAAGGAGCGTGCCTGGAGAGGGCAGGGCTGGCCTAGAAGCCCAGCAGCATCAGCCTTGAGTAGATAGTCAAGAGGAAACCCCTCGGCCGGGCGTGGTGGCTCACGCCTGTAATCCCAGCACTCGGAGGCTGAGGCAGGAGGATCACACTAGTTCAAGGCGAGTCTGGACTACACAGTGAGTCCAGGGCCAACCTGAACTGCATAGTGAGATCTTGCCCCAAAAAAAAACACAGAAAAGAAAAGGAACCCCTGCAACATGAAAAAACGAGCAATAGGAGGAGGAGGAGGAAGGGTTACGAAACAGCAGAGAAGAGAGCTTCAGGCAGTAGGCGGTGACATCATAATCATTAAGTTTAGGACAGAAGAATGTGGTTGGGCCTTACAAGTAGGATTTTAACAAGGACAGTTTCAGGGAAGTGCTGGGGCAAGGACCAGGTGTAAATCAGAAAGGGTGAATTAGGAAGGACTGTTGGGAACGTGCCAGAATCCTGGCTAGGCAAGAGCTGAGGAGAAACGAAGAATGAGGGAGGCTCACAGTGGGAAGATTTTCATCTTGCTTTCGTTTGAGGCTGGTCCCTGGGGTCGGGGGTGGCAAAGTTGGAGATCTTGGAGGAAGTGGGGCCGATGTAAGGGAGAATGCAAAGCCCCGGTGGGGCCCCTTCACCCTAAACCGGGTCCCGGTCTCTGTCCCTCGCCCCTCTGTGCTCATGGAACCAGATCTTCGTTCAGTCCTGTGCTTGTCAGATGCCGCAAAGTAACACTGGCTGTCTTTAGTCCACAGCCTCTGACATGCGATTTGAAGACACGTTTTACGGAGCAGACATAATCCAAGGGGAGCGGAAGAGGCAAAGAGTGCTCAGCTCCAGGTTTAAGAATGAGTATGTGGATGACCCCGTGTACCGCACTTTTCTGAAGAGCTCTTTCCAGAAGAAGTGTCAGAAGAGACAGTAGTCTACCTACAGCGCTGCAGGCAACAGAGAGGAGAGGAAGTGCCAGCCTGGGGGCGGTGCCGTGTGCTTTGCTGGGGCAGGTGGCTGGGTTTTTCCCTGGCAGTGGTAAACCAGGCTGCCAGCATCTGGTCACCAAACAAAGCGCTCATGCTAGTAGTTGGATTCTGCAACCTAAAGTTGTCCCCTAGTCTTGTTTTATTTGTGAACAATTATCTTCTATGATCCCAAAGAATTTTTCTAAGTGAAAGGATATAATAGTGAATGACCCACTAGCAAAAGCCACTGCCGGAGGGAAGGTAGGTCCCCATGTGCAGCTCAGGCCCCTCATCAGGAAACACATGGCGTCTTCCCTCCCGGACCTGGCGGGCAGGCGGAGCCTCTTACCCAGGTGGGAGGGTGATAATTTATATATTTTTCACAGTCAGGGAAGGACTCTCACTTATTTGTTTCAAATGGCAGTTTTTATAAAACATTTTTAAAACACAAATGGCATGTATGGTAATGAGATTTACCCGTGTGCTATCTGTATCCCCATGTACAGTACTTTTGCATTTTTTTATATTCCTATTACTTTTGATTGTGTCCGATGAGAACTGAGCTGGCCTTTGTGAAATGAAATTTTTGGCTCTTGAGGAAGAATTCTTAGGAATTCCATGAGAATTTTATATATTTAAAGAGGGAGATCTGGGGCGTTATTTTTAAACACTTTTTTTCATAATACCTATTCTAAGTAGATATTTATAAAATGTTTCTTTCATTATGTGTTTGTAAAATTAGAGTTTAAATAAATATGCTTTGATGCATAGTTTTGAACTAATGTAACATGATTTTCCTTTTTAAAACACCCTGAAAATGTACTAGTGTTTAAAAATAAAGATTTCCATTTTCTCCTATCTCGTCTTCTGACTTGTTGATTTATCTGGGTTTGAACCAGTTTTAAAGACATGCTTCCTTGGGGAACTGGCTCTGAACATATACTGCAGCCCTGGCTTTCCAGGCCCTTTCCCCGGCAGGTGAGTATGGAGCTGTGAACACCTGAGGCAGTCTGTGGTGAGAAGGGCTCATTGCCTGCCCACGTCCCAGCAGAAATCTCCCTCATTCCAGGTCTCTGGTCCCAGGTGTCTTTGCGAGGGACTCCAGAGATGCTGGAGTCCTTCCTCTCACTTCATAGTGCGGAGCGGAGGAAGGGAAGGCCTCAGACTCTGCTTCCCAACAAGAACACAGTCACGCTGCATAGCACACACACAGCCTTGCAGCAGCCTGTGGCAGGAAGCAGTGATTTAGCTCACAGGTCTTCAGGTCGGCAGAGCTGCGCCGAGGCTCTGCTGAGCGGCCGTGCTAACCTTGGCTCGGGCAGCTCACACGTGGGTTTCCTGTGCCTCCCAGCAGGCTCGTGGAGCTGATGTGCTAACTCAGCTGTGTCCTCGCCGGGCAATGGTAGAGGCAGGAGAGCAAGCCCAGCTGAGTACATTCAGGCCTCTTACGTTGTTGGTTACCATCCCATGGTGAAAGCCCGGATCCAGGGATTGGCAGGTCATGTCAAAGTTTCACAGCCAAGGGTGCAGGATATCCCGTTACTGGCTGGAGGGTGAAGTGTCAAACCAGTAACTGCAGAGCCACGGCACAGCTGAGACTCAGCCCTCTGCCTTGCGTACTGGCTCGGTGCTCATTTTCCGCAGTGCCTCATGGCCGACCTTGGAGCTGGGGCAGAGCCGCCAGCCTTGTTACCCCAGAGGCCGGGTACTTCATGTCCTCCGCCCCTGCAGTCCTGTATTTGACCAAGTCATCAGCTTGAATTTTCTCTTTGGGTTTTAAATGGAGCTCTTTCCACAATAGGCCAGGAAAGTAAGCCTGTGTAAGGCATTAAGAGGAATTAATCTAAATAAGATCATTCATTCAGTGCAAGCGTGCTTGTCAGCAAGATTTCTGATTGGCTGCCATAGGGAGAAAACGTGCAGAGCCCTATGTAATCTCAAGTACAGCTGGTCTTTATGGGCACACTTAACTAATGTTCCTGTAACCAAGTACAGCTGCATATGGCCTTAGAAAAGAGTCCTAGCTACAGATACACGCTGGCTAGTGAGAAGGGCACCTTTGTTTTACTGCATTCTGCATACAGTGATCATTAGCTCTATGACCAGACAGACCGTTAAAGCATTTTCACTTACTGTATGACACCTCCATTGTAATTTTAATTTCTTGTGTTACCCTAACTGCATTTTTATTGTGTATGTGTAGCATGAAATCTATTAAAGTCCTCCGAGTAATAAAAAAAATTGCTTAACTGTGACAATTCTAATGTACTACTAATTGCAAACCTTTTCTCTGGAAGTTAAGGGATTAGTAAAAGCTGGTTGGCATATTTCACAACATTTTAATTCCTTCATGTGTGTCTGGAATGACAATATGATCCTTGTCAGTTTACTCTCGTGAAGTGACTTCCTTTTTAGTTCAACTGGAGAGAAATAGAGAAGAAACAACCACTGGTGGATCACATGGCTTCCCAGCATGTATTACAGATTTCTACCGTGTTCAAGTCTGTGGAAGTGTGGACACTCGGAATGCAAGCTGTGTGGAGTGACTGCAGCTGCAGCCTCTCCCTCCGCTCATCCGGTGTGGAACCAGACCCTCCATGCCTTTGTTGCTGTGAATGTCCGGAGGGTCTTCGGAATAATCACTGGAGTAGTATCTGCTGCAAGATAACATTGTGCTTTATTTTTTGCCTTTAAGTAAAAGGGATCTGAAATGAAAAAGTCTTCATTTTAGATATAAATCAGCCCCATAAACTTGAAGCTAACTAGAGCTCCTGAGGCATTCTCATTACATGAAGTAATTGGTTAGTTGCAAGACTCAATTGACTACAAAGTCTTTCTGAGGACTCAGATGTGCACTCATCCGAAATGTTATACATCCTCTTAGCCAGCAAGTTGTAGGGAAGCATAGTCCTGACCAGTGAGGAAAATGATTTCTGCTCTCTGAGGAGGCCTGGACTCTCCAGCAAAGGGGCGGATGGCTCAGAAACTCCAGATTTAGTCATTAGAGGGTCCAGGTATGCCTGAGGAAATGGAACTTTGCCAAGAGCAGTTGATATTAATGATGTATTGAGCACCTATTGTGTACATCCAGCCTTAGTAGTATTTATTTTAGTTAATCTCTCTGATAAATCAGCAAAGTAAGTATCATTACCCTTTTTTATGGAGTGAGATTAAGACTCCATGAGGTGAAGTGATTTCAATTGATCAACTTTTGTAATGCATGAGGGAAAAAAGGGTTCTCAATCTGACCCAAACAAAAGACAGTGGATAGGTGAGTGTTAAACTCCAAAGAAAGGTTAGTACTAGAGATACAGATGTGGGTAGCATCGTCATTATTTTTGGGACAGTGTCATTTTCTGGGCCTTACACTGCTATGGAGTGCTCTTCTGATCTGCTTTACTTATATGTTTCCTGGAGGCCACCCCGAAAACATGCACACTGTTCCACTCGTTAGCTCGCTGCCCCTGCCTTTAATAAGTTCATGTGGGTCGGTTTCATCAGTGAGTAGGTCATTTGGTACCTGTGCAAGTTTAAAGAATGCCTTTCTTTAGCTCTCCGCTCTCCACGGTCGTCTTTCCCATTCTCTAGTTGGGAGATTGAATAGTCCTGCCTGGTCTGGGAAATCCCACTCCGTCTTAAATCATTTTGGCCAGAGGGAAATGGCACCTGGGACCGTCAGCTGCCGCGAAGTCAGGCAGCAGAGGTGAAGTCTCCACTCAGACAGTGCTGGGGGTGCAGAGAGAAGCATCGCCCTGGACCCGTTCCCTGCTGTCACTCAGATGTTTAATTATTCTTAGGGAACAATAATCTGCCTCAACCAGAACAGAAAGTTCTCATTTTTTCTTTTTGATGGGAGAAAGTAACTTATTTCTAAGGGCAGCGGTTTAGTTGGAAGTCAGAGATACAAGATCTAAAGTGAGTAATTGATAGAGGACTCCTGAGGGAGGAAAGATGTGAGGTTTAAAGGTAGAAAATATTTGAGGTGATCAATATGACAGTTACACTGATAGGATCAGTGTATTTTACATATATTTTATAAAATGTTTTTCCAGTACTGGGGATTGAGCCCAGGCCCCCTCACACTGAACTACATCCTCAGCCCATTTTTTTTAAAGACAGGATCTTGCTAAGTTGACCAGGCTGAGTTCAAACTTGTGATCTTCCTGCCTGAGCCTCCTAGAGTGCTGAAATTACAGGCGTGTGCCGCCATGCCTGGTTTATATACATGCGTTAAGGTATTACAGCACACAGCATAAAGAGTGACCAAAGCACCCAGTTACTGCTGCTCCTGCATGCCGTCCAACCAAAGGGCAGGCTCGGTAAAAAATTACGATGCGTCCTCATGCACCTTATTCACCAGATAGAACATCCTGCAACTTCTGCCTCTTCTGCAAAATCAAAATGACCATGAAAGCTAGACATTTGAAATTGATTCAGGACATTGAGGCAATGTTGATGGCTCAACTAAAGACAGAAAGGATGACTTCCACATCTGCTTCAAAAAGTTGGGAGAAGGATGGGTTAAGTAAGTGTATTTGAAGCGAGGTAGTATTTTTTTTTTTTTTTTTTTTTTTTGGTTTTTCTCCGGTACCGGGAACCGAACTCACGACCTTGTGCTTGCCAGGCAGGAAGCGAGGTAGTATTTTGAGGGGGATTAATGGTAATGTGCCTTTTATTGTAATAATTTAAAAATTTAAGTGTTCACTATATTTTTTATCATACTTCATATGTATAATTACTATAAGAACAGAGGTAGCAGTTGATTTTACAAAGGAAAAGGGAGGTTATGTCCAGAAACACCAAGCTCCTAATTTTAAGAACAGTGAGATAAATTGTAGAATTATTCAAGGAGGGGCTTTCTAGGTGGTTTGATGTAAGGAACACGAAATGAGAAAACTGAAGGTGCTGAATAGCTTCCGTCACCTTGGGGATTGGACAAGGCAGGGAGTTGGTGTTAAAGGAGAGAGTGACTTGGAGACAATGGAGGAATCTAGAAATTGGGGGGCTGTGGATGACAGCCCGGTAGCTCCCAAAGGTCCACACCCAGGCCCCAGGCCCTGTAAATATGTTACATTTCCTAGCAAAGGTGACTGGAGATGCTATGAGGATCTGGAAAAGGAGAGGCTACCCTGGATTATGTAGGGTGAGCTCAGTGTAATCTCAAGGAATCTCCCTAAAAAGGTGGTGGAAAGGCCAGAGACAGAAGCCTGTTGACGGAAGCCATCTGCTTTGAAGGTGAAGGAAGAGGCAGTCAAGGAATGCAGGTGAATTCTGGCGGCTTCTGGCAGCTGGAAACGGCAAAGAAACGTGTAAAGATCCGGCCCTCCCTGGCACCTTGACCTTGGTCATGAAACTCACATTTCTGGTTTCTGGAACTGTAAGAGAATACACCTATGTTTTAAACCCTGAATTTGTGGTGATTCATGACAGCATCAGAAGACTAGGATGACTGCTGAGCAGGTACGGCGGGAGGAGGTGGACAGAGGGCTGCCAGGTGAGGAGTAGCAGGGTCAGGGTGGTCATGGGACTGGAGTGAAGCGGAACGACGTGTCACCGACTTAGCTTACCGTTAGTGTTCTAATGGATAACCCACATGCTGTACAATTTACTATTTTAAAATGTACAGTCCGGTGTTTTTCAGTGTATTCACGTGGCTGTGCATCTGTTTATCAGTAATTCCACAGTTACTAGTCTTCACTGTGCAGCTTCCATCCTAACTTCATAATACTACAGCGCTCAGTATGTTTCTGCTGCAGTTCTGAAGACTGAGAGGCATCAGGTGAATACTTTCACAAGAATATATTCTCGAGTACCAAGAGCTTTTCTGAATGTAACATTTATTGTGCACAATAATAAAT